GAGACGAGCTGCTGTATCGACTTATGTCGGACGGCTTTGAATGACGAGATATCTTAGTTTCGCGGGGAGCGATGGAACAATAGGTGTTTAAGCAAAGTACATACACCGGGCCTGTTTTCGCTGGTAATGATCATGATGTTCAAGCGACAGATAACAAATGAGATCGTTGCTTAGCATGCTGATACGAAAATGTAAGCAACAAACTACCAACAAACGCAAACAAATAAATTTTATCTACTTGCACCTTTAAAACGCTTGTTTTCACGGTTTTGAGACACAAAGTGTTTTTTTTAAACACGTGACTAAAAACTTTAGTCACGGACTTTAGTCACATGGTGGAGGCGCCCTGAGCATTTCCCTATCTCCATAAAACTTAATTTAAAACGTAACAAAAATTAAACTTTAAATTAAATTATACCAACATTCAGGCTTTTATATCGTGGTAATAAAATCATCAAACGAACTTTCAAACTTTTTTATTCTATGAGTGTATTGGAGACGTTCATCACGTGTACAAGTGCACATCAACATGTACATTAATTTAGCGCAAATTTATCTTTTAAATTCCATTCGCGGTTCCTTTGTTCTCGCGTCGCTCGTGACGATGTGTTCATTTCGTGTGCGAGTGCAGTTCGCAGTTGGTATTACTGTATTTATAACTGCGTTTGTTATTCGAAGCGAAAAAGAAGAAAGAGTATGCCGCTGTGGCAAATTGTTTGATTATTTTCCTTTTCGCCGCAATTCTACAGCTTAATAAGTGTAATTTGTACACAATGCGCGCCTTAGTGCGAGAGTCTTCAAAGTCTCGCGCGTTCGCCGCTTTTAAACGAGAGAATTTACTTCGTTTTAGACTTTCGGACGAAGACTTACTTCGTCGACTTTCTTCCAGACTGGTGGAAGTTTAAGAGTTGTACGAGATGTTTTCAAAAGGTATTCTCACTATTAGGAACTAATTGAAAACATGCATTGTGGTGGAAATGCAAAATTGCGAAACAATTTGTATATTTACTGAATTATATTTATATTGTTTTTTATAAACACGTATATTCAATTTATTATAAAATTGTTGTCATTTCGTTGATGGAAATCCATTTGGGTAAATATTGTTAGAGGACTGCATTTATATCGCTTGGCAAAATGCAAGTAAATTAGCAAATAACTAACGCATTCGGTGTGCAATTTTATAGAATTTGTCGTGTTTATTATAACAGCTGTTTTAAGTATTAATTATGTGCTGCACTAAAAGTAAAGACATTAGTTGAGAAAAACATGATCAATTAAAATTGAAAGTATTTGTTATAGAGGTTATGTAATATTAATTCTGAAAATTAGTATTTCGCATACTTTGTTTCTCATTAATAACTTCATAACTGTTTAGTAGATAGCGAATAGTTTACAAAGTACGCCAGTTATGCAGCAAAATAAGTTTGGTTTATTGAAGCAAAATAGTCTGATTTTGCAATTTCAAATTTGATCATTTTCTGCGTCGGAGCTAATTAATGTATTATTGTGTAATTATGAAAATCAATGTTTAACTGTTTCGGGTTTAACAATAGTCCCAAAAGTTAATTTGCAATTTATTTTTGTTAAACTCATATAATTCAATTTTTGAACTTTAGAATTAAATTTTAATTGGTTAATTTAGTTTTTATTATATTTACATGAATTATTTCATTATTAGAATTTTTCCAAGTTAATTTTAACGAAAGTTTTCATGCTGTGATTTAAAAACTTTATTTATATAAATATCTATGTAAAAATGGTATTTTAAATCTTTAGGAATTTAGTTAGTGGCAGCTTACTCGTAGTTCTTAGCTTATCATCTTTCCACGCAATATCCCAGCAACGAGCGTTGCTCAGTAGGTACAAGTAATTTTATTGGGTTTTTAATACACTCCTGTCTTCGACAGAAGCGAGACGAGCATGGAGGGATAGCGCGGAAGGAACTTGTAAAGTAGGAAATTGCTTTTTCGCACTTTTCTTATCCTTGCCACGAACGTCAAACCGGCAAGCTTGTAATAGAACCGTGACGAAACAAACGCCGTCTACTGGACGCCCGCTAAGAATATATCAGCTTCTTTAAGATTCGCAAAACTTTCTCATCGTGTGTAGTTTATATTAGATGTTACACATTGGCAAAGTTACTTTCAATAAATTACCATAATCATAAAAATATTATGATCACCGAAAGTAATTGAAAACTTAAATATTGACTGATTGAAATTATTATGGAATTTAGTTTACAGATTATTTATCTGAAAGGTATTGAAATGAAGGAAGGTATAAGTTCAGGGAAAATTTAAATATAAACTCGTCTACCTATGAATTTAAATTGGTGTGATTACCAATGGGACAAGTCCCGGAAAGGACTTTATGTAGGAAATAGTTTATAGGGAATAAGGGATAATTGTTCATGAATAGCAAATTTTAACAAATCGATAAATCAACGCAATTTTACTTCAAATTCATAATAAAAAACTCTTTTTTTATATTATCCTGTATAATTAACGTCTATTATCTTGATCTATTTATCTATGCCTCGAGCCTACCTAATAAAGAACCAAAGAATCCAAGGAAGTTTAGAAGTACTCTCCTAGCTCAATTACACATACACACACACACGCGACACACTCTGAAAATAATGTGTAAGGGATTAAGAGTAGGGATAAATTCAAGGATTAGTCATTAAACTACCGCGCCTGAGTCCGCACACAAGCACACCGCAACAATCCACCCACACACGCGCGCGCTTTCAATGTGGGCGGTCGAGTGACCGAACTTCAAACGCTCTCTTTAATGTCTTTAATGCTCTTCATCCGATTGCAATCTGCTCATTTGCGCTCGGTCTCTAACCAACACTTGCACCCGCACTTTTCCAGAGGTAATTGTATTTGCTGCAGCGGCTGGCGGAGTTTGATGCTGTCGTTTGTACACGAGCGTGGCATGTCAATTAACTTTTGCGGAGAGAGTTACAGCAGTGCGCTGGAATCGTTAGACCGCACTTAAAACGAGTTGTATCCGTTACTCTAAATGACCATGCTCGATAACCCGAATAACAGCAGACCGGAAATGCACATAGAATGCACATTCAATATTGCGTTGATTGGTAATCCGCAATTTTTTATAATTCAATTCAGACTATTTTTTACTTGGTTTTTAAAGTACTGTTGGTGGATAAATACGTTTTAACTTTAAGTTAATGTTCATAAATTTTACGCGAAACACAAAACAAGGATTTTATATTATTTCGATTGTAAATTTTATGTTTATTTTATTTTTTGTATTATGTTAATGTAATTTTCATGTTTTTCCGCATCCGTGTTTCTGCGTTTCGGCAATTTTGTTTTTGTTTTGCTGGTGGTGCGCCTGTGTTTGCCCACTTATCGCCGGCGTCTTTTCTTCTTCGTGGCTCTAATACGTTTCCGCCGTTTCCGTTCGTCGGCGGTTCGTAGCAAACATAAGTAAAGGTAAGATAAGTTTGTTAAGTAAATAGTTTGCTTCTCCGCAATGTTTCTTCTGTCTCTTTTGGGTAGTTCTGTGCTTTGTTAGTTTTCCATTCTCTGGTTGTTTGTTTACGTCGGCGTTTTACATTTACAGCGTTCGAAATGAATAACCATTAATGAAATTGTCGGAAAATATTTGAATGAAATTATACAAAAACATTTCTTTCGCGTGCGTTAAACTTTTATGTCATAATGTAGGAAATATGAAAGGAAGTTTTTATTGTGTTTGGCTTATAATGGGTTGGATTGTGATGTACAATTGAAAAGGTTTTAGTAATTCAAATTCTTTAGCGAAAATTTGAACAAGTTTGACGATGTGCTTGCAACCGGAAAGTTTACAAGCCATTCGTGTTAAATTGAATTCTTCTTTGCTGGACTTTTCAAATTTTCATTTCAAATAGTCGTTTGCTGCGTTACAAAAGGTCCGCGATTCGATCTTACCCGGTCAGTCGATAATAAAAATCTTCTTTTTTCGCCTCCGGCTGTGAATTTTCGCATTTTCTCATTTCGTATTTTATCTCAATGTGTGTGTGCGCGCGCTCACTTTGTTTGAAATGTTATTACGTCCGCGCGCAGCTTCCTTTGCGATTTTATTCGCAAACTTTTTCCTCAACCGAAAACTAAAATTTTATTTTTACAAGCATCTCCAAGGTTGCGCAAACAGCCAGAATTACAAGCCGATTTAACACAGAAGGTATGCGTGCACGTGCTGCACATCACACTCCCACGAAAATGTCGAAAAAAAAGCAAGAATGCTGAAAACAGTTGTTGCCCGTTGAAACTCATGCTGGAGTTCAAACTGAAACTCTTGTAATATAAAATAAGGCATTGGCTTGTGAACGGGAAAACACAGGAAAAAGTTTGAGCATAGTTTTAGTTGGTTTTTACGTTTTTGTAATTTTGCTTTTGGTCTTCGTCTTTTTGGTTAGCCTTGGCAAGCGAGAAGTTTGCAGGATTTTGGAACGATTATAACACGTGTCTCTAGAACTGGTTGTAGTGGTAGCAGTTGCAAGGATGAGGAATTTAAATCGTGACCGAAGACGTCGCAGGACGAATGTTATATTAAAGTCACGTAGGGAGAGTAAATGTTGCCTTTACTGCTGAATTTGAAATATTTTATGAAAAACACTCAAATATCACATTAAATCTAAAAATATTAAAAAAATGGGTGAAGATTTGAATTTTTTGATTTAAATTTTAATTAATTTCTTTTAAATTTTAATTTTATATATAAATTTATATATGGCTGTGGAAATTCAAATATTTGTACTTGTTGCTGCAGCTGGCTTATTATCAGAAGCGTGTTTAATTCGATGCAGAAATACTTAAGGTATCACAAACGTGTCGAGGAAAAATAACGAGTTTAATCTGCGAAATGTGCACACCGTGAGGACTGGCCGCTGCGCATGCTTTCCACTCGTTTTCCACTCAGAGCGCCGTGCGTGCTGGCGGCGGGAAAGCGTTTTCCTCGTTGCGCACTCTATTCCGCCGCGAACTACCGGCCGGCGCACTCCAAGTGCTTCGAGTGCACTAACCGCGCGCCAATATTTCGCGATAGCAACTCCTAAAACAAACCAATTAAACGAAATAATCGAATTACGAAATTATTAAAATATTAATTGAGTGCCAACACTTCAAAAATTAAAAATAAATATTTAGTTCATCAAAATCAAAAAAATTGAATATAAAAATGTATTGGTTCGGTTTTATTGGTGTGCTTTTTATGCAAAGTGTTTATTTTGCGTGTGCCAAAGAAAAGGATATTTATGACTTGCGAGAGAGGCCGAGCAAAGGTAAATTTATTCTTTAAAAAAACAGCAAATACAACAAAAACAAACTAAACGAGCAAAAATATATTACCATCTATTAAACGATGTTTAATTCACTTGTAGTATAAATTTAATTTAAGTTTTAATTATAACTAGAAATATGTTTGAAATTTTCATAATTTTGAGTGCAATTATTTGTTTAAAACAATATTTACACAAATAGATGTAGAATTTCACTATGAATTCTCTTCCGTCATAATTTTAATATAAATTATTTTTAAAAGCAGTTTTTTTAAATTTTACATTAAATATATTAAATATTAATATGGCTAATGAAACGCCTGCAGATTCTCGTAGCTAATAAATTTCTTTGTGAAAATATTGCTTAATGCAAATGAATTACTCAACTATAACACTTTGTAAGTCTCTTTGAAGCTTTCATAACAAAATGTACCGGAAATATTCTCTCATTCAATTTATCTCGACATGTTTTATCCACCCTGATACTCTTCATCTTCGTCCTCGTGAAGTTCAACGTGTCGTATAAATCCGCACAATATATCAGTATTTTTGTGATCGAATAAATAAGGATGACTTCCTCAAAGGTAATAATTTTGTTACTTTTAAGCGCACAGCAGGAAAGAGAAAGCTTGCGAATTTCATAAACTTTTAAAGACGTTTATTTTATTTTTTTATGTTTTTCTTGTATGCCAGGAGTTAGCCTTGTCCTTGAGTTGGGAAGTTGAAAAAGTAAATATTTTCCAAGTCTAATCCTAAAGATAGAATCTTGTTATCATGGAATGGCCGAATCTATAAGGCCATAACGCACGATATTTTCCTCATGATTCAGTAATTCCATTATCTTGGCGTTCATTTTATGTCTTCCCTATACGCTCTGCTACTCTTGGGCAACATGGCAAGTAGTTTTAACTCTGCCTGGAGCCTGGCGCTTCTTCTTTCTCACGGCGTCTTTTTAGTTTTGCTTTCGAAGGATGTTTAGCGCTGAAGCACGGAGCATTGGACGGATGTTATTTGTTTACTCACCGCGCGACGCGTCATGTTTGCGAGCGGGAATTCGCATCCTCCTCTGCGACTCGGGAGATAAAAAAAAGTTGATTTATATTTTTATACGATTCCGGTCGGAATCATCCGGTTGGAAGCGTTGGATTGGTGGAGGTGCCAGCGATGCTGAATGCTGCGTCTGCGGCTAAATCGCATCATGTTATCTCTCTGCAATACAGCAGTGCAATGAAAAATGAAGTAATTTATGGTTTAATCAGGTTAATAGACTGGATATAAACTTCTAAAGTAATTAATATCCCAGTTTAACAAGCCACTAAATTTTCAGTTTTGTTTGCAAACTTTGAAATTTTATTGCTTTTGCTTTAACTTCGAAAGTTGGAAAAACGAGAATCGAAAAAATGCACAAAAAATTAACTAGGGAACGCAAAACATCTTCAAGGCGAAATTGGATTCTATTTCTTGTGTGACTGGTTGAATTGTCTTTATATTCGTATGTGCGCCATGTGCAAATTTTACTTTTATATTACGTTGGGTACACATTTGATTTCCTAGGGGCACGTGACAAATATAAGGAAACAATTTTTTATTTTGTAATATTATGCCTTTCGGTGACTAAAATTTAGCTTCAAATTTAAAATATTACTAAAATTTGATAAAGCATTATAAAATCCAGAAGTGTTTTTGCTAAGTATTATTTTTAGTTAGACAGACTTTCATTTTTAATTTAAATGTTTCCAATATTTTGCAATTAATACAAATGTTATGCTCAATAAAGTTTCACGCCACGTCGACTAAGGGATTAATCACTTTTAATTAATATCGTCGACCGAATGTCATTTGGAACCGGACGAAATAAACGTTTTCAATGTCCATCGTGCATTCGAATCGTTCCGAATTGGACTCGCAGAACATTGAAACAATGCACACGTTGCAAACGTCCATTTGGGCGATTATCTAATCATGCGGTTGCATAATAATTGCGCGTTAGTTCGTTTTATGAGTCGCGATGACCGCATTCGCTAATTGTTCCTCATGCACCGATGAATTGGGCACAATTGTAATGCTTCATCAATACGCAAAACATTCGCTAATTTAAAGTTACTACAATACGAGTACATTAATTGAATTGTATCCAACGTGATTACGGATACGTGATTTTAAAATGTTTGAAATTGTGTATTTTATTATTATGTCACATTTCATACTGTGTAATTAGTAAATATAACATTTCTTTGGCGTAGATTTTCATGAGTCTAATGCTTTGTCCATTGCCAATGTGAATGCGTGGTCGTAATGACAAACTGATGCGGAAAAGCCGAATCCGATGTCTAAACCACCAAGTGTTGACTTTATCATACGCCATTCGCTTCATTGCAAGCACAAGTGTTGCACAACACATATACTTATCAGTTGCATATTACAAATGCCACATACTGGATGTTAATAAAACATATTTACAAACAAAACATGTTGCATACGCGGAACGCAAGATGAAAACCAGATGAAAAAGAAAACAAGACGTAACCACATAAAACAGAAATTTGTGCTCAAATTACGCGCGCCTTTGTCGTTCTTTGTGTTCACGCAAGCGGATAAAGCCTGCAAAAGAGCTGTGTATGCACGTGTACGTGTGCGTGGGTATGTGTGGTGTTGTATAACACGATTCTGCATGTCATGGCCTATAAATGAATAATGCTCGTTTCCGTCGGAATTTTGATGTAACTTTTTGTTTGTAACATCCGCCGATGTACGACCGCTCTACACGCAAACCTTTCGCGCGCCTGCAACGCGTCTGTTTCACCTTATGTTATACGAGCTTTGCAGAGCTTTTCATCGCGTCGCTGGAACAACATTGCATTGTTTGTGCTATTGTTTCCTCTCAAATTCCTCGCTCGATAACGACTCACGCAACAACCGCTTTATACAATAGGGATGCAAGCAAGGATGCAATCAGTGTATCAAATCAAAAATCGAAAATCTTTGCACGTTAATTTTTGAAATTGTGAAATTTTGAATATGTTTTGGGTCGCATTCGAGTACATTTACTTGGCTAAAATGAACAAACAACGATAATGCAATAAACAACCGTGTGCGTTAATTATTAGAGGGTGCTTGGGTACCGACATGTTGAACTAGAGAGCTACTGTGGTTGAATCGGGAGTAATCACACGCTGCGCGCACTGGTGGAGGTGCCGATTGGTGGCAGCGCCGGGCATCGGCTGTTTTCCGGACGCCGCCATCGCAAATGATTGCGTCCGACGTTAAAGCACTCGATGTGTTCGGATGTTACGTGCGTTAATACAGCTCCTAACGCGTGCCATTTACCAAATTGTAACAATAAACATCGAAGCAAGCGTCAAAATACGGGAAATACCGGGAAACCACGCGCAGTTGTAACATAATATTATTTTACATTTACGAAATTAGATACTAGATCAATTCAATAACATATATTAATTGCATTATTCATTTATTTCATTCATTTACTAAAATTTTGATAAGTGCTTAGTTTTGATGAAAATTACAATTTTTTTAAATTCCGTTTGTGAAAATATTTTATCTTCAAGATATATATTTCAAAAGAACAGGAAAATTTTCCTTTCACGTGAAAACTATCCGCGCTGACATGTAACAAGGCCATAATTGTGATGTATTCGGAAACAGGCGGCACTTTGGGCTTTTGTGAGTCCACCAAAAACGAGCGTAACCTAGCTGCAAAGTGCGCGCACCTCCGCCGCGGTGTGTTCAGCCCAACCTCAAGAGATTCGCTTCCATTTTGTACGATGAACAATGCGTTCGGACGTTACACGGTTCACGAGCGCACCGCGCCGCCCCTCGTCTCGTGATATATGCCGCTATGCCCACTTCTAGAAACCATTATTGCTCGAGTGCAAATTCAAAATTTACGGACGCGAAATAACACAAAGTGGTTGCGGATGAGCCAAGCTGGGCCCGCTCACGTCCGGCTAGGGACGACAAAAATTCAAATCGAGCATCATCAAGCGAGCAGTACAAAGCGCAAATTGAAATTGAAGCCTTCATTATAAACGTATCCTCATGAGGCCTCCAAACAAATTGGGAATTTATGTGAAAAACTATCAGCCGCAATTTAGTATAAATTGTAAGTTCTATTTTATTACGAAAATTATATCTGGAGGTTTGTGAGGGTTTTATTTTATTTTTAGTCTTGTCGGTTTTTTTGTCGTCTTGAATTTTTGCTTGCGCAACTCGTAAAGCGTCCTTTGTGGCAACGGATGGTCAAAGCTTCACTTTAATCCTTCTGCGCGACAAGCTGCAAAGCTTTGAAGGGATTACTTTTCATGCTTTTTGTTTATTCCTGGAGTGATTTTCGTATTTTATCACGCTCTTGAAACAATACAGTAATGGAAAGCACCAAGCGAAATTAAAATCACACATAAATTTTTTGTGCTTTTCATTTCTGTTGTTGCGTACACTTTTAACCTGTTATTCGGTTATTTTGACATTTCGAGTATTATCAGCACGAACGATTTTGAATTAGCTCGGTATTTTTGTTTCACTTTTCACTTGTTATCATTCGACGCGTATTGTTTAGGGCTTTTTTTCCCGTCGGGTTTTTTCTGTTGGCTTTGAGCCCCAAAGATTGTTTGTGCTTTGTTTCCTGCCTCAGACCCATTCGCCATTATTCGGCACGCTCGTTTCGGTCTTTACGGTGTTTGCACTTTTTTGTCACATCCATCGCGCGCGTTTCCGTTTCTCGACGGCGCATACGTGATATGTGTGTGCCCGCACGCGTTCTTTTTAGAATTTTACGGCTTTCCCACACTCACCCGCATCCAGATTTGGGGACTGGTCGGTTCGCTCAAGCGTTTGATGTCTTTATGATTCGGCAAAGGGGCGGCGGAAATTGCTTACGCTATTCTGCATATTGTCTCCAAACGAAAGTGCCAAAAACGCATTTCTAAGCAAAAATTTATAGCCACATAAAGATCAGTTAAGAGAAATTCATTTTGTATCACTTC